CAGCCTTTGTGGCCAGCTGCTTACGTGGGGCTTTGCCTCCAGTGGATTTACGGGCAGTCTGCTTGGTACGGGCCATGACTATTAAAGATCACCTGTGGATACATAACAAACAGCACTTAAAGGCGTGTACCATAAAATAGCTCAGAATGTGAAGATTACAATATCATTTTCCATTTGTATTTAATAAAAAAAACTTTCACACTAACTTGACTCTACTTTTAAGTCAAAGTAAATACAAACAATAATCAGGAGCCTCATTTTTAAAAACAAGATTGAGGGTTGCTTATGCAATAACTGAAAGAAAACAGACAGCAAAGGCATCCAATCATAGCACGGGTCTTTATCATGTAAACCAATCACATTCCGCGCACGGGCTTGTCGGGCGGGATATTGTGAACCTTTAAGCCAATCACCGCGCGGCAACTTGTCCACACACCCCGCCCCTTGCGCACTGGACGTGGGTTCGCTCGCTTCTTCGCACAGCGCGCCCCGGCTGCTCACGAGGCTCGATTTTTTATTCAGAATGAGCTATTTTGAAGGAAAACCGCGTGACCCCGCCCACACCGGCTGCGCAGTGTGCGCAAACCAGCGCACCCGGAGTTGATGGCTGGCTGCTGGCTAGAAGAATGTAAACGGGAAGGAAAAATCGTTGTAGGAAACGAAGAGGGCGACGATAAAAACGACGGAAGATTGTAAAAACCGCGGCACGAAAGTGGAATCTACTTTTTGAAGATGACAGGGGACATGTCAGGGGATCGATTGGCGAACAATATTTTGTCAGATGACCCCTCACTGTAGGAGCATTACCGAGTCAAATCCAACCCGATCACAAGTGCTGTTCAGGTCCCTGACTCCCCGAGCAGCCAGATAATAGCTCGACTGCCCTGCGTTTTTCTTTTTCACCGAAAATAAACCAAAAACACGTCCATCCGACAGCCACTGTACCACGGAATGATAGATTTGAGTTTCACCGAGAAGGTGATGCTTACCTGCGAAAAGTTCGTGAAAGATTGCAGCTGCAAAATGGGATTTTATTCTTGAGTCTCTTAAGCGTTGTTCTCGCTATAAAACGAAGGGAGGAGAAAAAAAGGAAAAAGTACATAGGAGAGCAATAGGAGACACGTTTCCCATGATGCATCTGGGACAAACATATTACAAACATGCTGCAACATGATAAACAAATACGTGACCACACTCACATGTAACGACAAGTTCTTCTCAGTTTATTAACAGTTTTATTAGTTTATTTTTTATTTTTTATTTTTTATTTTATTTAATACAATTTTTGTTAAGATGGAAAAATTCAACAACAACACTGACATGTCAGGGAGGTGAAGTGAAGTGCAATCCAGCCTTTTAAACGCTGTATTCACATTTTAAATTTGTATTATTTAATTATCATTAAATAAAATATCTACATAACAAGGCTGGCCATTGTTGTGAACGTCACATATATGAGTATATAACTTCCACATTGTTAAACTCAAACAGTCATTATAGCCCCATAAGCTGGACTACAGCAGAAACACATAAAGTTAATATTTATATTCATATTTGTATTTTTTAAAAAGCTCTTCCAACACATGCACTGTCGGTCCTGTGGGGGGCGCCAGCACCTCCACTCCAGCGTATGAGCATTGAAGAAGAAGACACGTGTTTCTCTTCTTTCAACATGGCGTCCGCCAGGAGGGTGAAACGCGTGGCGGCGTCGCAGCCAGGTTTTTTAAATTTAAAGACTTCCAAGGACTCCGCGGAGTCGCTGGGCTTCAAGAGGAAACGCGTTAACAGGAATAAAAAGAAGAACTGGAACAAATACAGCGACATAAATGACGTGGAGTCGTTTTTAGACGACGTCAGGCACCAGGAGAGGACGACAGGGTAACAGCTCACTGTGGTGTGATGTGGAAACTCTGACCATAACGGTTCTATTTAAATGTTTAGTCTCTACCTCTCTCACGGGACTCCTGTCGGAGTTTCTCTGTATATCACTGATGTTACACAGTTAACGACGTGTTGCTTTATTCCTTTAAAACAGCGTCTCAAACTACACGGTGCTTCTCTCTAGCTGGAGCCAGGAAAATGTTTGATTTCTTTAATGTTAAGTCATCCAGTTAAAATAAACAAGGGCCCCGTCCATGTAATCCTTGGGGGTGTCGTGTATGGTGTGTTGTGTCTGATGATTTCTCTACACTGTGAAGTTTAATCAACATCTTCAGTGAGTCCACATTGAGATTCAGTTTAGCGCCACTATAAGTATTTTTGCAAGAATTATGATGTTAAGTCGTCGAAGTAAATGTGCTGCTCTGCGCCTTTGATTTCATTGTGTCTGCACTGTTGGGGGTGTTATATGTGTAATGTGACATGATGTGATCTGTATGTGTTTCAGTGGTCTACTGTCTGAGAAGTCAGATGACAGTTTGTTCTTTTTGGATATCGGAGAACCGAAGAAAGTCGAACAGAAAGGTAAATATCTCCTATTAGTGTGTGCAACTCATAAAGATTAAATGGGACCAACAGAAACAAAAAATATGTGTTTTCCAGTGTAGAATAGGTTTAAATGAACTCCTGTACTAACCATTAGGATTGTCTTTACATGCTTGGATAAAGAGATGTGTAGGTTTTTTCAGTCTTGTTAGTGATGAATCTGTTTTTTTTCTGTGAAGTACCAGAATCTGTTGAGGGGAAGAAGAGGAAAGGAAAAACATCACGTCCCCTGAGGATTGACCTGATCCTGCAGCACGACTCCCTCGTTCCACCACCGAAAGAGTCAGTACCCAATGTTTTTCTTTCTCTCTTTCAAAATGTAGTCGTTTAGTATCTGGGAGCAGTGGTATCACATGAATACTGTTATGTTTAATTTGTATTGGACAATACAAAATAAAGATAACTTTATGTTTGCCATGAGGCATCTGCAGATTTGTCTAAATTAATTGTATTGTCAGCTTTAAGTTTTATATGTAGTTACATGAAAGTACTGCAGTTTGTACTGTGTTTTCTTAAATGTTTGAGAACTTTGTGTGACCGGTGATGATCTCATCCTTGCGCTCCCAGTATTTCCTTCATGGGAATGTGAAGACAACACATTGGAGCTCAGGAGACTATTGTGTGAATGGTGTCCTGAGATCTGAGGTTATGCAAACACTCACCACAGTGTAGATGGTTTTAGATAAACAGGCCCAAAAATAATATGTTGGATCTGAGTGGAGATTCTCCTGCTGCGTTGTCCGGACCCAGTTCTCTGGAGTCCCACTGAAGGTCTTTTCTGAAAGCAGCTTGTGCCAACAGCTTTCCATCTTATCTCATACTGTTTCCTTTACATCGTCCTGCCCTCCATAATCAACTGTTCATCTCATCTGCCTCCTCCCTCAGTGTGCTGGCCTATCAGCAACCAAATGCCAAGAAACTCCGTCGCATTGCCCAGAAGGCTGAGCATCTTGCAGCCAAAGGTGTGGTGCCACGGAGGCAGAAACGGCTGCTGAGCAGAAAGCCTGTCGTCAAAGGGGCCAACAAGGCAGTGACAGAGGCCAACAATTACCCCAGCAGAGGATATTACGACATATGGGGGCAAGAGAGTGAGTGGAATGTGTGTCTGTGTCTGTAGTTTGTCTGTCTGTGTCCGTCCAGTGATGATCCCATCCTTGCGCTCCCAGTATTTCCTTTATGGGAATGTGAAGACAACACATAGGAGCTCAGATGATTATTGTGTAAATGGTTGTCTGGGATCTGAGGATACACTTGAAACACTTAAGTTTGGTGTTTTGTGAAAATCAAGGTGATAAAATGTAGATGTTAGTAATAGATTGACAATGATGTGTAAATTGTGCATCTCCTTGGCTTTAAATCTTCAATCATGGGTGAAATCAGTGGCGAAGACCAAGCTGTATTTACCAAACAGTTTGAATGTGATCATTAGAGTCCAAACAAGGAGGCCACCAGAGTTTTGTTTTTTGAATTTGTTGATGATGATGTTGCCAGACATCTCAACCCACCGCAGAAATTGAGGAGTGAGTTTGTCTTAATCACTCACCAGCTTTCTCTGAGACCATTTTTTGGGTTCTTGCAGCTGCATCAACTAGAATCATTTAACAATTGGAGCATGAAAGTGATTTGATTTAGTTCTTTATGCAGCAAGTCATCAATTTCAAAATTTGGAAACTATCACCATACCACACCCTATCACCATACATTCAAATAATAATTTATAGACAGTATTGGGCTGACCTTTGTAATTTTGAACCAGCTCTTAAAGTGTAGATAAACACATCCTTTCTGTATTTACTTAGTATTTCCATTTTTCCCCATCACAGCCAAAGATTCAGCAGACCCCTGGTACCTTCAACAGACTGGCAAGAAGCGTGTTAAGGTGAGTTTTGTCAGAGATGCACCTTGGCGTTCAGAAGTCTGAGACCACTTTGAAATGGATTCAAAAGTAAATATCCGCCCAGCAGAGGAGCTAATCCGCTTGTTTAGGGTGATGAAATATCCATAACCAGGTCCAGAACTTCAGGTTACAAGCATGAATGGTGCTTTGAATGTGACTATTGTGCTTTCATCCGTTTTGTCAGCGTCCAGAGAAGTTGAACGAGAAGCCGTCTGTCCTCCCTGCTGTGGAGGTCATCGCCCCAGGAGGATCCTACAACCCAGACTTCTTTTCCCACCAGGTAACTGGAACCTGTGTGCATACACGCAAGTGATGCGCGCATTACAGGCATCCTGTCAACAAAATACCAAATGACACACATGGTGCACGGAAATAGGTCCATGTTTATATTGACTAATAACGACAGTGTGTGTAAAACCAGGCATCTTAAGTGTAATATGTTTCCATATTATCACCAGTAGAGGTGGGGTGGAATTTTCATGTGGGTGCAGGTCTCTAAATTTGAGACAATAATTCCTGCGGGTGGGTGATGGGCAGATGAGTCAAGCGTACGTACAGATTTGGATGTCATCAGAGCTGATCAGCGCATCTCTAGTACACACACATACACACACCCCAGCTGTACAATCAATTCAATTAAGTCCACATCTGCCCGAAGTATGATCAATGTTTTAAGAAGCATGTCCCATGAGTTACACATTGTTTGTTTTTGTGCTGAATGAACTGACTGTTCTCCTCCACTCTGAACCCAGGCCTTGCTGAAGGACGCCCATGAGGTGGAGGTTAAGAAAAAAAAGGAGGAAGACAAATTAGAGAGACAGCTGGCCGTCAACAAAGAGGACACAGCCACAGTGGTAAAGATGATCATGCCAGCTCTGCCTTCGTTTTCTGATTCATTCTAAATGCAGCAGAAACTCTGATCTAGTCTCTGACCTAACAAGTGTCTGTGTGTTCTGCAGGACACGATCTTACAAGAAGAGGTGGAAGGTCTGGTAGAAGAAGAGGAGGATGAAGAAGAAACACCACCTAACGAGGAAGAGGAGGATGCAATAGTCGGAGCCATCTCACTGGCACAAAAAAAGACTGAGAGACAGAGGAAGAAAGAAAAGGCAGAAAAAATAAAGGTACATTCTCAATATATACTTTTACATACTTTTTAAGGATCAGTAACTTCCTGTTTCATGCAAGTGAAGGTTCTGTTCCTCTGATTATGTCAAGGAGCAACAGTGTAGAAGGCAACTGCAGGATGAATTTTATTTATGTTCTACTTGTCTGGAAAAAATCACATATTCTGTAAAGTAATGAAGCTTTTTGATAAGATGATTAATCTGAGTGAAACACTGCAGATATCCTTAACCCAAAAAGTGAGGAGAAGTACTTAGGTGATCGAAATAAAATGTATCTGCACCTACTCTGGTAATTTTCACAAACGTCTTGTAATTTAAATATCTTTGGGCTTTTAGGCTGTGGGTTCAACAAAACCATACTCACTGGAACACCCACCCCATGTTCTGGGAAACTGACATATTCCACAGTTTGTTTTGACAATTTCATAGATGAAATCATGAAAATAATCAGATAAATTCAATAATAAACTTAACTAAACCTTAAGCTGACCACTTGTCATGGGATCACTCAGGACAGATGATAACAGAGAGCAAAAAAGTGAGCTTTCATTTTCAACTCCAGACATAGGTTCCATTTAAAATGTCTTAAAAAAAACAGTTTGAGGTTTGAAATAACTTCCAAGTCCCTCAGAAAGATGCTGCTTGTTGTTTATCTACTCATCATCTGATTGTCTACCTGACTGTTCGTCTTCCTCTTCCCACCCCAGGAGCAACTGCGGCTCACCAACAGACGGGAGACTGACCAGCGACAGCAGCTCTTCCAGCTTCGCTCCATTAAGGCGTCTGTCAAACAGCAGGAACAGAGTACAGACGAAAAACAGAAACTACGCAAGGCCAACCAGGAAGCTGAGAAAAGCCAGCCCAGACGCCTCGGCAAACTCAAGTACACATAACGCTCTCCCATTACATGTTCCTGTGTGTTAAAGGGGTTCTCCAGTGATTAAGTATTGCACTTTCATAAAGTGAAGCAAGTCATAACAGACGAAATAAAAAAGAATGGTCAAAATAAATAGAGCCGAGGTGGAGATATCCTGACTTTTGGTCCATAGCATAGTGCTAAACTCCAAAAATGGTGGATTGCCCCTTTAATGCTGAATGGAGTAATATATTTTTTTATTCCTGCTCTCTTATTTTTTCTGAGGAAACAAAACGTAGCAGCATTAACATGAAGCTTTACATGTGGTTGTTTCTGCAGGGGGCAGAATGTGAACAGACCTTTTCATGACCACAATGTTTAACAATTTCCTTTTTGCTCTGATTTGCAGGTTCCAGCCTCAGGACATGGAGGTTCAGTTGAGTGACGAGCTGGCCGGCTCCCTGCGACAACTCAAGGTACGTCATCCAACTCTTACTTATCCCCGCTTTGACCTTTGCATGTTAGGATATAGCGTCTTAATCTGTAATTACTTTTGCTTCATTTAGTTGGTGTATTATCTTCAGTACTCTGTATTGTCTTATTCTAAGCCTTATCCTATTCTTTAATACTCTGACGACCCACTTTCCCTCAAGGGACAAGTATAGTTTCATTTGATGTAATTGCCAGTGGAAAATTCCTGTCTCTTCTGTTATCTCCTGTCATTATGTCCTCGGATAATGCTTAAATCAGTTTTTATGGTGTGAAAGGATTTTTGTAATTTGGGTGGGAATTGGATATTGTGTCACATGTGCATCTCGTGGATTTATCTGGACTTGTCCCTTCCCGTCTCTTGTAATGCCGCCACTCTGCAGCCAGAGGGCAGCGTCCTCAAGGACCGCTTCAAGAGTCTGCAGAAGAGGAACCTGATTGAACCCAGAGAAAGAGCCAAGTAAGGACTTGTTATGTAACAGCTCATCAAAGACGCTCAGCGATGAACAGATTGGTGAGGTGTGTATTGATGAACATGTACGTTTCCACCCTGCCCCCGTCTCTTAGGTTCAAGAGGAGACTCAAGCTGAAGTATGTGGAGAAGAGGGCTTTTAAGGAGATCACTTAGTGCCGACCCACAAACCACAGGAGCCGAACACGAGAAGCTGGGCGACGCTTAAAGCCACAAGTGCAACATGATGGAACTGTGTATATACAATGTAATAACTGTTGATTTCCTGCTTGTCCTTTTCAGACAATTACAACTTATAATTAAAAAAAAAAAAACTAAATGTGTTGGGGAGTGGTTTATGTCTAACAGTCATATGTATCCTGCAGTCTCTATACATATACAGTTAAATTCAGATTCCAGTGTTTCTTATATCTACTGACCTCTGTGTCTACTTTGAATGCCATGACTCAGACTAATGCAATCAGTGTAGCTGTCAGGCAATTTTAAATATCCATAACAGATGATTTGATTAAGTAAAGTCCAATAGACATAATACTTATTCCCCTTTGAGGAAAGCAGCAGTCGATATGTAATAATTGATTCCAACCTGCTGCTTAAAACCATAATTGCTTTCAGTGCCCTGCTGGTGTGAACAGGGACAAACACACACACAGTCTCATGGTGCCTGGAGCTACGCCAAAGCTCCTTATGTGTATCAGTGAAAATGTAAACTTTACATTTTAAGGGTCCACAGAGCCCCTTCACACACCCATCCACCGAGATGCCTAAATCAGTGGACCTCCCCTCGTCAAGACAAAGTGGATCTGCATGAGACCACCTCCCAATATCTGCAACACATCAATGTCTTTGTGCCAACTACTGCAGTTTGTCACCAAAGAACCTCAGTGATCTCTGGATTTATAAGGTTTATTACAGAATACATTAAAATACACATGTCTATAGAGTAGATGTGTATTTATATGTGAATCCTCAAACAGTCAACATCCGTGTCTCTAGTGAGTATTAAATATTGATGCAAATTCAATGTATGATACATTTATGTAACATTTATAAATCTAAAAGATACCATAGAAGATGAAAAATATGAAGGATGATGATGATATAGTAATTCGAGAGAAGACATGATTCAGTCACCTAAGTATTAGCTTCACTTTTCCAGACATGTATATACAGTCCATGTTGGGGATCATTTAAATCAGAAGTTTTCATCCTCTGAGGATCATGAATGTCAGCACCACTTTAGAGACAGTAAGTCCTAAAGTCGCTGAGATTCTAGACTCTGGACCGAGGTGGTTTAACCACTTGACAGACCAATTGGCAGAGAACCCTATTACACTGATGCTGTTGCTAATTTGTCATAATCAGTTTAGTGGTCATGAGGACTAAAAAATAGAACATGCTATTTCTAATTGCTTTTGAATTTTTAGTAATCATATTGCGCCATCCCTCTCAGTGTCTAGTGAGTGGGTTCTCCACCCCTAGATTGAGTCAATGAAAGTCACCGGATGTTAGAAGGTTGAAGGAATAATCTCTGTGTTTTCTTGAGCACTACTGCCACACAATGCAGCCTGCTCATCTGTGTTATTCCCTCAATCCCCCACCCCTCCTTTACATCTACCCTCTTCACGTGTGAGGCACAGTGCTGCCAGATTGCCTTGGCATGGGGTGGGAGGGATTATGTGTGCTCGTGCGTGTGCATGCACGCCGCTGCGGTCACTCATTACATCCTTCAGAGTAGATTACTACTCTTCCAGTCTGGGGAGCCCTGGAGTGACACACGAAGCCACTAAAACACTGAGCTGCACTGCATGACGACGCAACTGTGTTTGTGTGAGAGTGAGACAGAGAGAGAGAGAGAGAGAGAGAATGAATATTTTCATGTGATCTTAAGTTGGTTGGCTGCAAAGAGACAGGCTTCTGCACGGTGGCCCAGTGTCCCTGTGAATGTCTTACATCCCGTGTTGGAAGCTCACCGAGGTCATTCCCATTCCAGCATAACCAAACATCAATTAATGTGTTCACAGCTATTTCATGAATTATTATTATTAAGAGTTCAGTGTGTAAGATTTAAGTGAAAGGATCTATTGGCAGAAATTGAATATAAATTAATCCTTGTGATGTTTTCACTCATCTAAATTATACAACTTGTTGTTTTCTCGAGCCCTTTATGTTTAAATACTTTATATTTAGGAGGAGTGGGTCCTCTCCACAGAGACCACCATGTTTTTGACAGTAGCCCAGACTGGACAAACTAAACACCTTTTGAGTTTTTATGACGACTGAAGCTACCACAGGTTCTCTCTCATGTTTGGAAGAGGAGAGTGAGGTGAGGGGTATTCAGCTGCAACATGCAACCTGTCCACTAGATGTCACTGAATTCTACACACTGAACCTTTAAGAGAAATGTTGTTTGTAACTCACCAACAGTCATAGCTGATTTATTTTTTCAACCTCCGAAAGATGACAGATTTTTTTGTGAACCTATCTGAAGTTATCCACAGAGCAGTAAGATTTATTCAGAACAACAACAACAGAAGGGATTTGCTCTGCCTTGAGTTATTTTGGTTTCTTCTCTCTCTCCTTGTTGCATGACATCTTTGCCAGTGGAAATGATGTATGTGTTTATTTGCATATAGGGTGTGGAAGTGAGATCTGATTAGGAGACACAATGGGGGCCCACATGTTAATGCCAGGTGTGAACACACACAGACTCAGAGCAGTCAACTTGTGATCAGATCACCATGTTACCTTCACCAAGGAGGTTTGTAGGTTTGTAGGTTTGTTTGTTTATGTTTGTTTATGAGCAGGTTTACACAAAATCAAATTAGTGGGGTCCCATGAAACTTAATGGAATGATGTGGTAGGGGTCTCGGAAGAACCCATAAAATTTTGGTGTGGATCCAGATCAGAGGGCAGATCCAGATTTTTTTTCACTTTCTTTAACACTTTAACAGTTTAAGCATTTTCAACATTTTCATTGTTTTCTGAATGTAATAATTAATGGATCTTGATTTAAAAAAAAGATCAGGCACATATGGGGAACTGATTTCTATGGGTTTGTGCAACTTGGTGCAGCTTAATTGAATTTAAGGGGACTATTGGGTCTTAGCAGTCTTAGTTGTGGCTGAAAATGACAAAGCGAGAGAGAGTTGTGGGCCGTAAAACCATAACAATAAGCTGAAAGGTGCTTAACAGCTCGGTGGAGCTCAGGGAACTGCAGCGTGGGCCGATAATTGTCAATTTACAATGTTAAAAATGTGAATTATAGCCCGTCAAGTCGGCTTCCTAGTGAAAACCTCAGATGCCTGCTGATTCCATCTCTTCAACTGTTGAGTATGAGTTGGTTTCTTACTCTTGAATATTGTTGTACACTCAATATCTTTGTGATCACATTATTGTCGGACTACAACAGTCTGAAATTTGCATATCTGAATCAGTGCTAAACACTCATCACACTGTATATTTTAACTTCTGTGTGTGTGTGTGTGTGTGTGTGTGTGTGTGTGAGAGAGAGAGAGAGAGAGAGAGAGAGAGAGAGAGAGAGCATCCTCTGAGTAAATTACTTTAAATCCTGATGTCGCTAATTCCATTTCCATTACACACACGCAAACAAACACACACACACACACACTGATTCCATCACATTCTCACTCTGTCACACTCTTCCTCTGCTCAGTATCCTTACATAGCCTCAGCATGGCACTGCCTCCCGTGTCTCTGGTCTCTGTCTCCGTGTGTGTAAACAGCACAGATCATCCCTGCAGTTACAGGAGGTATTCCTGCACACAAGGCATCAAGATAATGAAAACATAGATGGCAAGACAAAATCTCAAGCTATGTTTGATGTGATGGAGGACTGGAAAACGGGTTTGTGTGGTCGTGCTGTTGGTGGTGGAGCAGCGAGAGATGAAGAGGAGAAGGAGGAGGAGGAGGGAGAGGGGATAAACACAGTGATAGTGAGTGAGTGAGAGGGAGCGAGAGGGGGGAGGAGCAGAGAAATGATTCCTCTCTCTAATCCCCTAGACACACGCTTGGTCTTGCTGCCTACTGGCTCAGAGAGAGACGGAGGCAGGTGGAGGGTGCAAACAGAGAGAGAGAGAGAAGCCAAGTGGGAAGGAAAAAACAAGATGAAGGGAAGAGAAGAAGGGAGAGCTGCCTCTCGGAAACGCTGAGAGAAAGACAGCGAGAGAGAGAAAGGCAGTGAGGACGAGGAGGCAACCAGCGACTCTTGCACGGTTTTGAGCAGAGGGAAGGAGATGGTGGAGGAGGAGGAGGTGTGATGCTTCTCTCCAGTGTTGCCTGAACCAAACCAGAGAGGGAGAGGAGAGGAACAGAAGAGCGGAGGAGAAGGGAACCCTTGAAAAAATAGCTGGAGGAGAGGACAGAGAAAGAGGAGAGAGAGAGGAAGGAATGAAGGGGATGGAGGAGTGGAAAGCCAGCAGAGATGCCTGGTTGCTCAGGCTCACATGAGAGCACGGACCTGCGCCCGGCCACAGTTACTACAAGATGCTGTCAAAGAACCAGCGTGTGAGGGCAGAGTGTTACTGTGCGAGTGATGGACATCTGCACAAACTACGACTGCTTCATGAAACTCAGCAGTAGATAGTCCTTCTACACCAGATGTGTGTGTGCGTTTGAGTGTGTGTGTGTCGGTGTGTGAACATATGACCGTCCAGCTGTTTGGGAGGTAAACAGGGTCAGGTGCACCCAGCAGGGAAACAAGGAGGAAAGTGGGAAGACACACTCATGTGAGCAGGAGCACACACACAGACGCACAGTGTCCATGTGTGCAACGAGCACCTCAAAGCCTCGGTCCAACCATCTCAGGTGCAGTTAAGGTTGTGAGTGCGTGCGTGAAGAAGACAGGGCGCTCACAATGAAGTGTCACTGAATTTCTTCTAGCTTCTTGTTCGGCTCTTCTCTAACACCAAACCAGCCACCTGAAACCACTCCCTACCTCATCTCGACGCAACAAGTGGACTTGAAGACTGAAGACGGGACGAGGAGACCATCAGTGGTGCTCCTGCTGACTGGACAGCCCATCAGAAGTGGGCTCAGCCCTGATTTCCTGTACCCAGTGGATGCCTCCTAACTCCAGCCATGGGAGAGTGGACCATCCTAGAGCGCCTCCTGGAGGCTGCAGTGCAGCAGCACTCGACTATGATCGGAAGGTGAGCTCTTGTGCGACTGACTGAGGTCTTCAGAGCGATGCTGGCATAGGCGGGATGTTTGAGTGTTTGGATTAAAATTGGAACCATTGGTTCTATGATTTGTGTGTTTCTTCATCCGAGCTTGTTCTCACTGTACATCTGCAG